ATAATAGATAATAATACATTTTTATTTAAAGGCGCCTCTCTGGGCACTCGGAGGAACACGGTACAGACACATAAAAAATGAAAAAAAACAGTAAGAAACAAGACAACAGAGGGTAAGAAGAGACAGAACGTAGATAGTTAAGTTGGTGATGCAATGTTCTGAAAAGGTGAGTTTTTAGTCTTGAATTTTGAAGAGTGTTGAGAGATCCAGGTTCCTGAGGTCCGGTGGGGAGATGATTTCCAGAGTCGGGCCAGGAGCAGCTGAAAGCCCTCTGCGCGCCCATGGTGACGAGGGCGGGCGGGATGGGACAGAGATGTGACAGAGGAGGCAGATGCTGGAGGGCGGGAAGGTGTTTGTTGTGGCAATGTGGAGGAGTTCGTACTCATGTATATAGTAATTAGGGAAAGGTTATGGATGCCTTGAACGTTAAAACAGGAGGATGAAGTGCCGAATTTGCGGATTGTGACCGGGAAAGCCGTGGAGTTGGCTGCAGAACAGCGGGTGATGGTGGTGGAATGGAGGGGGTTCTGGATGGATGATTCGAGCTGCAGAAGTTCTGAACCAGTGTGGGGACAAGATGGATTCAGCACAGTAACTTGGAGATGAGAAACATAAATGCACAACGCAGTTTCCACACATGATACTGGTGAGTATTTTGATGGACTCAAGAGGCAATGTTCGTCAGGTTGTCAAGTTGTTAACTGTCTGTCTCCCAGAGGTGGCAGTGGCAGTGTGAAAGCTCAGCCGCGGCGGAGGGCAACGCCAGCAGGAGCATCCGCATCCGCGAAAACCGAGAAGACAGGCGAGGAGAAGACGACCCGGGACAGCCGACGGAGACACCTGGACCGCTTCACAGGCAACGCAGTACAGTCGGGACGGGCCCACAGAGGCGTTTTAGTCGGGTCACAGGGGGACACAGTGTCTGCGTATGAGGCACGATTTAAGGCGCTGTGCAGTGAGGCGAGTTTACGTGTAGCAAGGACGCATAAGGCTGGTTGGCTTGAAATCTGTCCCCTGGTGTTCGTTTTTGGGTCTTTCATGACCAAGACAAAGCGTAACTGTGAGCCATCCGGCCTGGAGCAAGCCTAATTGAGGCTCGCGTTGTACCTTCTGCCACGGATCGCGCAGCAAAGCGACGGAAGCCCGCCCTTTATGGCGCGCCGCCAGGGGACAGGGACGCATCGCAGCCAGTTTTAGGGAGGACGCGGTGAGTGACTGCCCCGAAGCAATCCTCTCCGAGCCTTGGCTCACGCCCGAGCCCGTGTGACTAGAGGGTAAGTAGCACAGGTTGCCGGTCCTAAAGTGGGTTTCTGCTCCGTGCGTCCACAGCTCTGAGAACAGAGCCTGCTCCGCTGTTCCAGTATGTCTCTGCAGGCCTCTGAGTAGAAGCCTATCGGGAGTGGGGTGGGGGGCGTGGCGGGACAGCCCGGCAGTGTCCGTCCACCAGCTCTCCGTCAGGGGCCAACAGAGAGAAGAGGCCGAGTGAAGAGGATCTACAGCGAGGAGATCACCAGACCTGCGTACAACAACATCCGGGCTCTGTGTGAAAAGGCACCAGCCCTCTGCGAAGATGCCCACCGCTCCCACACAAGCTGCAAAGACCGCGCAGGATCGGAGACGAGCTAGCTGGGTAGTTCCGAACTCAAACCGCTAGGAAGGTGCGGTAAAGAGCGTCGGGTCGTAGAGTGCGTAACCGTCAGAAATCCAGGCACAGAATGATGCAACGGACATGGATCAGGCAGTGACACGCGTCTTGGTGCCACGGCCAAAAGCGTGCTGGAACGATGCATATAAGAACAGGGGGCGGCGCTGCCTTAGTAAACCGAGGCCAGGTATTATGCTGTGGGGTCTGTGCATGTAAAGGGACGAAGGGCTGAAGAGAGCCGCAAGGCGCACGCCCAAGCCACGCCACAGGACTCGCCTCTCCCACCCGACAACCCCCGTGCCCCCCTCGCCCGCCCTGGCACCCTGCCCCATCGCACCCCCTGTGGGTATTCAGGCCGGGTTTCTCTCTGTTACTCATATGTCCCATCACATCATAACAGGCGAGCACCTGAGCTAGGCGTAGGTGACGAGTCCCTGTCCACTGCTAACCCCGTAGTGAAGTCTACAGCGGGGTGGGCGCAGCGTGAGCTGACCAGCTCAAAGCAGACTGGCGGCGCTCTTAGGGGGAAGGGAGGGGCCCTGAAAGAGAAGAACGCAGTGGGTCAGGACAGGGAGGCGTGAATAGAGGTGGCGTGCAGCGCAGAGTGGCCAGGGTGACGTTAATAGCAGTCGCGCTGTGAACCATAAAGCCATGTAAACCTCATTGATCAGCAGACCCGCCAAATGTAAGCGTCACTGCGAACCTGAAAATGAAGGCCACAAGTATGAGCCTCGTTAACTGGTGCAAGCATGGAGCATCGAAACGTGGGGCCGTGGGGACAAGTCTTATACAGCGCCCACCCAAGGCGAAAGGGGCAATGCAACTCTGAAGCGGGGGTCAATCAGATTCGTGCCAGGCTCAGAACGCTACGTCGCCCAAGCAGAAACCACGTTGCGTGTTGCCTGTTGGCTACGGCACGCCTGTAGGCCGCTCTGTCTCACGTGGTTTTAGACGTGCAGTAGAAGGTTCAAGTAGCAAGTTTAAACAAAGACGAAGAACTCAGGCTTTACTCGTGTACGCACTGTCGGCCCCCCTGTTGCCTGGATGCCTGTCTCGCGAGTGGTGCGCGGTAAAGGTACGGTCTGAGCCTAGCTAGGCCGTGTTCAGCCGTGTGGAATGTGGAGCAGCTACTAAGGCATTCGGTGTAGGGGTGGGGCCGTGAACTCAAGCAACCTCCAGTTACTCCACGCTCTTTGAAATTTCAATTTCAATTCAATTCAATTCAACTTATTTGTATAGGTGCCAATTCATAACAGAAGTTATCTTAGGACACTTTTCAAATAGAGCAGGTCGTAGACCTCTCTAGAACAGAAAGAGGAGAAACAAAGAGAGACAAACAGATGTCAGCAAACAACAGTACAACAACTACGATTAAATAGTACATGATCGATGACGATCATGAAAAAGACCGGATGACGATGACAGCAGCAACGATGCCGGGGACAGCGAGCAGCGACAACAGTAACTGTTAGCAATCGTAATATAATACTTAATAATAAGACTAATTACATAATCAATAACGATAATCATCAGTGATATTAGCAATGGCAGTCGTAGCAGGACCATGGCAGGAGGCTCCACCAGGATCCCTGAGAACATGCAGGACGTAAAGAGCAAGAACTGCCAGGGGGAAGAAGGTGAAGTTAGGTTAAATTCTAAATTTAACAGGGAGCCAATGCAGAGAAGCTAGAACAGGAGAGATGTGATCTCTTTTCCTAGTTCCTGTCAGTACTCGTGCTGCAGCGTTTTGAATTTTATATATATATATACAAAAACGTTCTGAATCTCTATTCTGAGGCTGTTCTGTAAATAGTTTTCTAATAAATATAGCAACTTCTGATCAACCCATATCCATGAATTAACAACTTCGGGATTAGCCCTGCCCACTTTAGATTTAAGTACCACCCACGTATACAGATCATATAGTTGGTTAAACAGATAATGGTGTACTCGCTCTGCCGTAGTATTATCCACCTGTTATCATACGTTGGCACATTGGTGATGTGATGACAACTTAGGCCAACCCTGGAAAAAACTAAGGAGACATTTTTTGTCAAATTGTGTCTACTGTTTTCAGTATCAACAGTAATCCAGTTGACGTTGATCGCTGTGTGCATAGTTACAGCACAAACAGGAGCTGCTAGTAGGCAAGGCAAATGTATTTATATAGCACATTCATACCCAAGGCAACCCAAAGTGCTTTATAGAGTTGACAAGAAAAAGGCACAAACAAAATGAGAAACCAATTATAAAAACAATAAAAGCAAACATTTTTACAGTGCTAAAGCCAGGATATCCAGTCAGTATGGTTCTCATTATCTCTGGATCCATTCATATACACATACTGAATGTGTGTTGAGAAGCTTTGGACACGGGTCATACAAACTGTTCCCAAACATGTATGCCAATGACATAACATTGATAACAGCAGTCTGGGATGTTACAATGTGCAGTCCAATAAAGTCTTAGTTGTAATCTGCTTCAGACTTTACATTGTAATTTTAAGACGTGCAACAAATACCCGGTATACTTCAGCGTTGAGATGTAAATATACTCAAGCAGAGACACTTCAGTCACATGTGCCTCTCTGTTAGGATTTTAAAATCAGTCAAACGAAAAGGAAGCTCACACAAGAGTGCCAGCATTTTTCAACAGCTCTGGCATCAAATAGTGTATTCTGAATCCTTTGGTGCCATATTCTGACTGGTTGGATTGAAGCCACTCTGTGAGAACTTGGTCTTACATTCCAGTGGACATGTGTCTCAGTGTGATCTAAGTCCACCGTTTTTACCTGACAACCAAAGACTTCACCATGTTTCTCTCACTACGGCCAACTTTGGTCTGGGACAGCCCAAAACTGCCCGCTGTTACTTAACTTGAGAGAATAATATATGGTTGCCTACCACACATAGTAACTGTGCCACAGGTCTGTAATTAAAGGGAGAACAGCTCAGCATTCAAAGCTAACGTAATGGAAACGCTTTGATCCTGCAGATGAGACCCAGGTCCACATTTCCAAGCACGTCCTGAAGACCCTGTGCACAGATGTCACCAATATCCTGGTCAACTTCCTGGCTGCTGACCTGATGATGTCTGTGGAGAATCCCAGCACCATCAGCAATGAGGTGAGACAAAAAGCTCCTGCTCTGTTTCTGCGTCCCCAGCCCATCAGCTGGAGAGGCACATTTAAATCAAGTTAATTAGGACTGTGCATCATTGTTTGAAATGCACTGTGGGACTCATTAGAGTTTGGACTTCATCATCAATGTCTGATGTGTTGCCTCAGGTCAGAGTGAAGATTTTGGGCAAACTGTCAGAGGATACCAAAGGACCTCTCATGAAGCTGCACAACTGCCTTAACGGCAAAGTAAGTTTGTTTCAAGTCAGTTACACCATCAACTGGTCACTGTAGCTCGAAGGGTAAAACTGAAACAGAGGAAACTTCTTCACTGTTTGTTCTTCAGACTATTGAAGACTTCCTGACCAACATAGAGACCTGTGCAGAGGTGTGTGGCTTCATGCTGAAGAAGGGAGACAAGAAAAGGGAGAGGTAAGTACAGTGCAGAGTTTTCATAGTGTTAATGTTGTGTGTATACGTATAGGATTATGTACAGACTGTGGCAAGAAATGTCCTGGAAAGGACAATAAGTAATCTATGTAATCTGTATGCTTTTAGTATTTATTTGTTTATTTATAGTCATAAATACAAAATGTACTTGCCACTACATGTCACACTAGAGCACCAGCATCTCAGACCAAAACAATGGGCACTAGGCCACTGTTGGGATCTTTAAATTATATATATATATATATATATATATATTAAATTTAACTTTGTAACTTTTTTCTGAGATGGTATAGGGCTGCATGATGACAGAACACTTCCTCCCTTGAAGCTTACTTCAAAATAAAATACTGCATACAGTTCAAATCCAGAAACAAATCAGTTTGATAAATGTAAGTTTTGTGTGTGTGTTGTGCAGACAGGCCCTGTTTCTGCACCGTCAGGCTCTCACTGAGCAGCTGAAGGACACGGAGGATCCAGCTCTGGTCCTGCACCTGACCAGCGTGCTGCTGTTTCAGGCCAGCACCCACTGCATGCTGCACGCTCCCGGACGCTGCGTGCCTCAGATCATCGGCACCCTCACGGGCCGAATACCCACGGTACGTCCGACTGAGTGTTAGCCACATTACTGAGGCAGTGTGGCCAGTCAGTATGTTGTTGTTATGACAGTGGCAGCGCTCACAGGTGGGACGACAGAGGGTTCATATACTGTTTGTGCTGCTGGTGAACATTAAAGGATTCAAACCAGGATTCAAAAGGATTTATTAAAGCTCAACCCTGACTGCTTAACGATCAAAGTCTTTATTGATACCACTATTGATAGTTTTCTATTCATTTGGTGGAAAGACGAGTCGACAATACATTTTTAACAGAACTGGTTTTGCTTTTATTGCCTAATTGCAATTTAATTGAATTTAAAACTTTATTAGACAATGGATGCAAGTTTGTGCATCAGTGATTGGATTTAAATGACTCTCGACTCTCTAGACTAGGGCTGAAGCTATCGATGAATTAAGTAATCAAGTATTCTATCGATTAATCAAGTAATCGGAAATTAGAGCTATAGTAACTATAGGTTAGCTTCAGGTTAGTTTCAGAATTTCCTCTAGGAATAGGACCCCAAACTTCCCTTTCCCTGGCCACATCGGCCAACTCTGACTGGGGGATCCCGAGGCGTTCCCAGGCCAGTGTGGAGATATAATCCCTCCACCTGGCTGGTGGAGCCAGCCTCCCAGCTGGACGTGCCAGAAACACCTCCATTGAGAGGCGCCCTGAAGGCATCCTCACCAGGTGCCCGAACCACCTCAACTGGCTCCTTTGTACGCAAAGGAGCAGCGGCTCCACTCCAAGTCCCTCGTAG